CTAGTCTGGATGCTCCCGCGCCGACCTGAAAGCCCTTTATCGACATCCCCGTTATGCCTCGTGGGATGAGGTTTACCGGGGAGGTCGATAAAGGGCTTTCATGTCGGTGCTGGAGCGTCCAGACTAGCGCACTGAGCTGACAAACTGAGCTGAGCTGTTTGTCGGCTCAGCGCGGCAGCCATGTAAATGTAAATGAAGCCGCGATTATTTAAATCACCGCTTCATTTCCCTTTGCTGAACAAACTACGTCGACGGAGCCATGTAGTTTAGACGTACCCTTAGTGCCTCCCCCCAAGCCACATCCCTCGTGCCCCTCCGCACAGCTCCCCTTGGCCGGGGGCCTATGAGAAACCCAAGGAGCTAGGCTGAAATCGCTGCCGGCCAGGCCGGTCTCACTGGCCCCCTGCACTCCCGTCGCCTGCGTCCATCTCTTATCTTGTGCCCAAGGCACAGGCCGCCTTTGTCCCGTGGCGGCACAGCACTGAGCACAGTGAGTTCCCAGGCGCACCAACAGGTATGAATAGCAGCAACTCCGGCGACGGGCTAGCAGGGACCCAGCCTGGGATCGGACCCCGGCTCTCAGCCCCTCTCCAAGGGCTCGCACCTGCTGGCTCTTAATACGTTTAGAAAGCAGAAGCACAGCGGGGACGACCCGGGGCAAGCTGGGACAGCTGGTGCTACCCCCTCCCTCCCCGGAGATGGTGCAGGGGGGAACCGGCTTTTAAGCCAGCTCCCCCTAGTACCGGCTCCTGCTCTCTGGAAACTCCCCCGCCGGCCCTTAACACATTTAAAAGGCAGAGCCACAGAGGGGGTAGCGCCCGGGGCTGGGAGCTCCCCTGCTGCAGCTCCCCTGCTTATCAACTAATAGACGGAAATTCCATTGACAGGTCAATTTGTCGATGAAACTAAATTTAACATCCCTAGTAGGAACGAGACATGAGCCCGTGTATCAGGCCTGGCAGGAGGCAGGCCCTGCACACAGAATTCCCCCAGGGCTGACACACACGTTCCTAAGAAGTGCGAGGCACTGAGCACTCACAAACCCAGCCTGACATCCGGCGCTACTAGATCCGCCCAGTACACAAGCATTTTCCAAGGATTAACAGGTACACCCTGACCCCACCTAAGAGATATGGTCAGAATGACAGCACGGAATAGAACTGCTTTCATCAAACTACGGGGCTGTGTCTAGACTGGCCAATTTTTCCGGAAAATCAGCCGCTTTTCCGGAAAAACTTGCCAGCTGTCTACACTGGCCGCTTGAATTTCCACAAAAGCACTGACTTCCTACTGTAAGAAATCAGTGCTTCTTGCGGAAATACTACGCTGCTCCCGTTCGGGCAAAAATCCTTTTGTGCAAAACTTTTGTGCAAAAGGGCCAGTGTAGACAGCTCAGATTTGTTTTACGCAAAAAAGCCCCGATGGCGAAAATGGCGATCGGGGCTTTTTTGCGCCAAAGCGCGTCTAGATTGTTTTTGCGCAAAAGCGCGTCTAGATTGGCCACGGACGCTTTTCCGCAAAAAGTACTTTTCCGGAAAAGCGCCCTGCCAATCTAGACACTCTTTTCCAAAAATGCTTTTAATGGAAAACTTTTCTGTTAAAAGCATTTCCAGAAAATCATGCCAGTCTAGACGTAGCCCAGATGTTAGAGGCGGGTAATTCAGTAATTGTGTAGTCGATAAATATTTTATCGACTGCATGATTAGTCGATAAGGGAAGGTGCTTAGTCCCGACACATCTCAGGGCCAGGAGCTACCCCCACTGCAGCTCTGCAATTTAAATGTAATAAGCAGCCAGGCAGGCCGGGAGCTTGGCTCCTAATACACTTAAACTGCAGAGGCGCAGCAGGGATAGGCCCCAGACCTGGTGTGAGCCAGGACTGAGCTGTTCTTGTTCAGTCCCAGCTTGCCCCGGGTCCAGCAGCCCCTGTCTGTGGGCCCCCACGGACGGGTTTTTAAGGTGGCTTCCCCCAGAACTGCCTCCAGCTCCCCCATCTTGCTGCATCTGTATCAGAGGCAGCAAGATGGGGGAAGCGAGTAGTTGAGTAGTGACTCGACTGCCCAATAAGCCTAGGTTTATCGGGTAGTTGACTATTGCTTATATCCCTAAATCAAGCCAACATGCACCAGGCGAGGGCAGAGGCAGTAACTCTGTTACATGGGCGGCATGAACTTGTTTGTATCAGAGGGAGAGTTTGCAACCTAGGGAGGAACAGAAAATCGAGCCAGTCCGTTGTTACGGGCCTTCGTGTATTAGTGGTCCAGGAGAGTCTGCAGGATGCTACACTGTGTTTCATCAATGAGAAGCTGGCTAGGTGCCTTCATCCCTTCATGGATCTTGTGGTCATTGGGCAGTTCAGTGGATGTTTGCCGTGCCGGCACACAAATCATAGAACCATAGAACTGGAAGAGACCATAGAAGACCATCAAGTCCAGCCCCCTGCTCTAGGCAGGACCAATCCCAATTAAATCAACCCAGCCAGGGCTTTGTCAAGCCGAGACTTAAACACCTCTAGGGATGGAGACTCCACTACTTCCCTAGATAACCCATTCCAGTGCTTCACCACCCTCCTAGTGAAATAGTTTTTCCTGATATCCAACCTGGACCTCTCCCACCACAACTTGAGACCATTGCTCCTTGTTCTGCCATCTGTCACCACTGAGAACAGCCTCTCTCCATCCTCCTTGGAACCTCCCTTCAGGAAGTTGAAGGCTGCTCTCAAATCCCCCCTCACTCTTCGTTTCTGCAGACTGAACAGACCCAAGTCCCTCAGCCTCTCCTCATAGGTCATATGCTCCAGCCCCTCATCATTTTGGTTGCCCTCTGCTGGACCCTCTCCAATGCGTCCACATCCTTTTTGTAGTGGGGGGCCCAGAACTGGACACAATACTCCAGATGTGGCCTCACCAGAGCTGAATAAAGGGGAATAATGACATCTCTGGATCTGCTGGCAATCCTCCTCTTAATGCAACCTAATATGCCATTAGCCTTCTTGGCTACAAGGACACACTGTTGACTCATATCCAGTTTCTCTTCCACTGTAACCCCCAGGTCCTTTTCTGCAGAACTTGGGAACACACAGGCAGCCAAACATGTCTAAACATCTAGCTACGCAGGATCTGAATGAGGAACTTGCCCTCACTATGACATTCTAAGTGCACCAGGCGGCACCCACTTACTTTCAGCTCTGGGTGCGTCAGGGGGACAGCCATGCCGTTCTCACGCAGCCTAAGGCTCGTTACAAGAGGATGTTTTAGAGGCATTTCTGGCCCCACCAGGAGACGGAAGAAATAGAATCGTCAGGTGAAATTCTGCTCTCTGGAGATTTCCAGCCCAGTCTCATAGATCCGAGCACATCAGGTGAGGCTCAAATACATCTGAGAATTTTTGGGTGTTCATTTGAATCAGACTGAGACTTTCAGAAGTTCCTACCACACTGATTGCACTGGGGACTCAGGAACCTGATGTGGTTGCTGCCTCTCCCAATGACTGCTGGCTGAGCTTGGGTATGACACATTGTGCCTCAGTTTCCCCTTCCACACTTTGTCTGTCTTATCTATTCATGCAAGCTTGTGGGGCAGGGCCTGTCTCTCATAGCACAGTGGGGCCTTGAATTCAGCTTTGGCCTTTCAGTGCTATCGTACTGGATAATAAAACCCAGCTCCTTTCTAATCGCCTCTCTTTCTGATGCAGACTATCCCCCCCCCCAACACACACGCTCCCCCGGCTGAGGTCAGCAATGCTAGTGTCGCTGTGAGAAGGGCAGGCAAGGGTTCTGTCTACACAACAGACTTTACAGCCACACAGCTGCACCACTGTCGGGTCTCCTGTGTAGCCACCTGCCAGCAACGGGGGGAGCTCTCCTAGCTGCATTCTTAAGCCCCCCCCACTAAGCGGTGTGTTTTCCTCCTTGTAACGGGGTCGGCACCCCCACATGTGAGCGCTCCCGTTTGGCCAAGGGTGGGGCCCTGCACCGCTTCAGTGTTTAAAAGCCTTGTGGCTACTCAGCCCTCCAGCCGAGTCTCACACTGTGTAATCACAACCCCCCAGGGTACACAGAACAGGGGCCCATCCCGGTGCCCTCGGCTGCCATCTCCGAGTCCGTCTCTCTGTCTCCCCTCAGTCTCTTTCCTCACCCGAAGGAGTGGCACCTTCAGGGTTTCGCCTCCTGAAGGCAACTTCTTCAGGCACCTTCACGATCTGCTCAGCTTGAGCTCTGCCCCCACACTGACTGCAACTGAGCTCTCCAGCTCCTTTTGTAGGCCTCCCTGGCCTCTGATTGGCCGGGTCCTCCAGAGCCTCTCTAGCCTCCTGGAGGACTTATCTATAGCTCCTTCTGGCTGCAAGGCCTTGTCAACCCTGTTACACTTGCCCTACACTCGAATGACAAAAGTGCTAGTGGAGACATAGCCTAAGTGTGCAGCCCATCCTCCCGGTGGTGTCCACCACACACAGAAATGGTAAATGCCGGCTGAAAGTCACTGGCTTTTGTTCCACCATGACACGGCTGGGCTGTCGCTGCTCTGACAGCGAAAGTCGCCCTGACCAGCCCCAGACAGAGGGAACCAGATGACAGTGCAGCTTCCTCTGGCTTTGGCTACCCCCACAAACACCCCTCCCTCCTCCCCGCCAACCTCTATCTAAGGGTCTGACTCAGTTGGCCAAGGCAGCTCCATCTTTTGCAGCACTGCTACCAGCACAGGAGCACGCGAGCTAACAGCAATGCTTCAAACAGCCTGCTGGTTGCAGGACCTCAGCTCTGGGCCGCTAAGTGAGGCAGCCAGCCAGCCCCGGCACCAGTGAGAGAAGCTGCCTTTTTCCCTTGGGCTTTTCTCTCCTCTTTTATGCATGTTTGGGTCTCGCTTTGCCCAAGAACACTTTGCAAACACCACCATTAGCTCCCCCCAAGGAGCGTTAATTCCATTCACACGGCGGGGGGAGCGCGAGGGCGCCGGGCGGGTTTGCACAACACAAGGACGAGGCTGCTCTCACCAGGCTGGAGTTGGTCGCGTTGGTATCGTCCTCCGGCATGGGCAGGTAGACGGCCAGGGCCACGCAGTTGGCGAAGATGGTCAGCAGGATGATGATCTCGAAGGGCCTGCGGGAGGCATTAAGGAAAAGCACGGAGCCGAGGGACAGGCCCTGCTGACACACCATCAACGGTCGCGGCCGTGGCCGCTGGCAGAAGGTTTATGCAGGGCAAATGGACTAGCAGGGACCTGCCGCTCAGGAGTGAGGGGCGCTGGCTGAGCTTGGGGGGAGGGCCCAGGGTTGCAGTAACGGGGTGCTGGTTCCATCACACGTACCTACGTAACCCTCACACCTCGTGCCGGTCACTGTCCCACGTAGCTGCACTCAGACCCCTCACCGCCGGAGCTAAGAGCAAGGGAGCTCTACAGCCCAGGCTGAGCCAGCTGGCCTTATAGCTCAAGCTATACAGCAGGGTGTGACGGCGCGTTGGGGGTCCCCCGTCTCCTGCAGCCCGAAATGGCACAAACAGACTGCACCAGCCGGTGGAATAGAGGAAGTTTATTGCCTCTCCAGGATACAGCACAGCACAGATGGAATCTGGTCACAGAGCTGGGCTAGGATGCCTCAGGCCCCCTTGAGTTGGGGGGAGACTGGGCCCCTAAACTCCAGCCCCTTTCCCTAGGCTGTCTCCTCCATGCTCCCAGCCAGCAACTAACCAACCCTCTTCCAGCCCTGCCCCCCAGCCAGGGCAGCATCCACCTTCCTTTGTTCCTCTCCATGGGGGGTGTCTGGCCACTGGTTTGTATAGTGACTCATCCTGTTTTGCTGGGTCGTGGTACCCACGGCAGCCAATGGGGGTTACCCCAGAGCCAGCAGCATAGAAACCAGCCAGGTACCCCCACTACGTCACTCAGGGCTACTCAACTCTGGCAGCCCCGGGGGCCACAACGCTACTCACAGCCCATGCCCAGGGCCACAACTTAAGGGTGGGTGCATCTACATGCAAATATATGCAAACAGCTTCTTTCACACTGAGGGGCACGAATACAAGATTAAGGCAAGACGACACGACACGCAGGCCCCGTTTAAGTCAGTTCTGCGGATCCTACCGAAATGCAATCGTTACCCGATTTCTACCCACATGCCAGCACTTTTAATGAGCAGTGACAGTCCAGGAATTTAACGACTAACACGCATCTCAACAGACCATTCTATTGATTCCTTGTTTGGTTTGGCTCCCGCCCACGGGCTGTAAGTGGCGCCCCACGTAAACCCAAACTGCTCTGCAGGCTGCAAATAGGCCATGAGCTGTGTGTTGAGTAGCCCTGCTGTAGTGGCTCCTACCCTAAGCTCCAGAGGTCCCAGGTTCAAAGTCTCCTGTTGGTGGTTACACCAATGCTCCTATTCAGACCCTCTTACAGATCTGGGGTGCGGGACGGGCAGTGCCCTGGCATCTGCATGCACCCGGGCCAGCCCCGCTTCTCACTGGCCAGTTCCCCTCTGATCCCTGCCTGGCCAGCCCTGCTTCCCACTGGCCAGTTCCCCTCTGATAGCTCCAGAGGTCCCAGGTTCAAAGTCTCCTGTTGGTGGTTACACCAATGCTCCTATTCAGACCCTCTTACAGATCTGGGGTGCGGGACGGGCAGTGCCCTGGGATCTGCATGCCCCCGGGCCAGCCCCGCTTCTCACTGGCCAGTTTCCCTCTGATCCCTGCCTGGCCAGCCCTGCTTCCCACTGGCCAGTTCCCCCCTGCTCCCTCTGATCCCTGCCTGGCCAGCCCTGCTTCCCACTGGCTGGTTCCCCTGCCCCCCCGATCGCTCCCAGCCAGCCCTGCTCCCCAGTCCCGGGGCAGCTCCTAGGATGGTTTTAAAAAAATACCGGACACACTTGATCTCAGATTGGGGGTGGACCAGCTGGGAGGGGAGCGAGGCTAGCCAGGAGGGAGTCAAGGGAAGCGGGGCTGGCTGGAGATTGGGGGTGAGGGGGAACCGGTCAGCGGGAAGCAGGGCTGGCTGGGAGGGGGTTAGGGAGAGTGGGGGGAAGGGAACCAGCTGGCGGGGAGCAGGGCTGGCCCAGGGGCACACAGATGCCGGGGCGCTGCCCGTCCCGCGCACAGTCCCAGCGGGATGCACAGGCAAGTCCAGCCCCAGGGAGAAGGGAAGAGCTAGGCATGGGCACTGGTACGCTAGGCAAGGGGAGGCGTTGCCAGCCTTGCCCCACCCACACTCTGCCCCCCAAACACCTGCTGCAGGCGGGGCAGTGCTGCCCCAAGTGCGGACTTCCCTCCCTCCCTTCGCCCCCCGCCCAGGGAGCTAGGCCTGGATTTCAGTGCCCTGTGAATGGTGACAAGGGGCAGAAATTGACACGTCCCTCGAGAGTTTTGTAGCAAACGATTTTCAGGGGCAGGGAAGCAGCCTCGGCTCCTCTCTGGGCCCGGGGCTAAGCCGAGCGCCTTTGACCCCCACCGGCTTGGCCCGTGAGCGAGCCTGGCAGCATCCCCATGAGGCGCCAAGGGAGAACAGCTGGGTCCCGGGGCCCAGGTTCTGTGCCCCCTGGGCAGCCTCCCTGGCGATGGGGTGGGGAGGTCCAGCGAGAAAGAGCCAGTAGAGGGGAAGGAGACAGAGACAGAGCGTAGAAGGGAGGGGAGGGCGAGGGCGGGGAAAGGAAAGAATCACCGGTTCCTAGACGGGCCCATTGCGAACTCTCTGGTATCACCCTGAACTCGGTCCTCTGCAGCAGGCCTTTCGGCCAAGCCGGGCTCAGCGCCAGGGCCCTGGCTGGAGAGGGGGAGGGGCCGGGGGAAGGCAGAGAGATGGGGGTGGGGACAGAGACGGGGAGGGGAAAAGGAGGGCGAAGGAAAGCACGAGGAGAGGGGCAGAGGCAGCCATCCGTCTGTGATGTCAGACAGCAGCTGTGGGCAGCCGGCGAGGCGCTGACGCACTCGCGGAGCTATTCCAAGCAGCTCTGTCTCTCTCCGTCCCCTGGCTTTACTCCCCCTGCCCCACCGCCCCTCCCGGGGCCTCCTCCGCCTTATTCTCTTTCCTGCTCCCTCTGCAAAGTGCGTCCTCTCCCCACCACACCCCGACCCCTGGCCCGGCTTCTCCAGTCGCGCGGCACCTGCCCGCCATCGGCGCACGACGCGCCCCGGGCACGCTGCCCCAAGTCCCTGCGCCTCCGCCTGGCCCGCTCGCATTCCTCCCCAAGATGGCCTCTGCCAGCCCTGGATTGTATGTCTTCCCTCATGAAGCGAAAGCGGCGTCCCCTGCCAAGATCTGCCCCCTCCCGCCAGGCTGCACTCGCGAGAGGGGGACTCTGGGGATTATTTCCCATGGCCCCCTCTTTGCTTGCTGCCAAAGACTAAACAGAAGCCACATCCCCCCCTCTGCTGCACCATCTCCGGCCTCGGCCCAAGAAAACAGGCCAGATCCGGACCTCCCTGACGCCAGCTGTACGTCCCTGAGTGCAGCGGGAATCACAGGATCTGGGCCCTCGCTCCTTTTCATGTATATTTCACCTTTCCTCAGCCTCCCCTGGCCTTTCGGATCCCCCGCAAGACGGGCCGAACCGACAGGCCCCTCTCCGGCCGTCAGGGACATGAACACCAGCTCCAAACAGCCCTGGGCACGTACTTTCCAAACAGCCCCGAACGCTCCCTCCAGCGCCCTGGGCACGTACTTTCCTCTGGCCGGCCGCTGGGTCGAGGCATTCCCTGATCACACACTGGCCAGTGCCCCTCGGCCTTTGTCGGGGTGCCGGTCTCCCGTATTTCTAGCCCCCCCAGTCCCGGTCCCTCCTCCCTGCCTAGACAGAAAGGATACTTCCATTCCACGATGCTGATGCACGCTTTCCGCAAGGGATTCTGAAGGGTTAAGCAGAACAGAGCCCTGGCTGTGGCACCGGTTTCTTGGACTTCTCTTTCTGTTGCTTTTTCTTCTGATCATCCTGGGCAGAAGCAGACTCCATGATCTTCCTTCCCTAGCTGCCTCTGCCAGCTGCTGTCCCCCGGCCCCTCCCTCACTTCTCCCCCGGCTGAGACCCCCGGCCCCAGACCAAAACCCCTTCTGGTTCTCTTCTGCTGCAGAGCCAGTCTCCTTGCTGCGGAGGGGGAGGCAGGGGGCTGAAAATCGAGCTCACACATACACAAATGCACCAGGCAGGAGTTTAAAATTAGACACCGTCTCCGCGCCCGGTGCTGTCAGAGTTCCTGAGACAGCAAAAGAACCTTATCCCAAGCCGGTCATGGCTTCCCAAGCCATCGCTCCAGGCTGGGAGTGGGGCAAAGGACTCGCGCCGAGAGGGAAATACGCAGAGAAAAACTCTCTTCGCCCCAGCTCAGTTCTCTCCCTAACCCTCTTCCCCACCTCCCCCCGGCTTCTGGAGCAGCCCGAGGAACCAGCAGGCTGTTTAAACAATACAAGCTGCCTGCGTTGTGCAAGCGGGCGCGGGGCGCGCACAGAGCGAAGCGACAGTCCTCCCTCGGGCGGGGGAAGGCTGCAGATAAACCCACCCGGACTAGCGCTGGGCATTCACCACTCCCAGCTGGTGTCTGCTTCCCGGGAATTCCTCCTGCCACCGCCCTTGGTGGGACACGGCCCCCGTAAGGCCGTTCTTAGTGCTTGGGATCGGGTAGCGCTGGGCACCGCGCATACGTGGGAGGCCGACCCTGTCCCAGCCGGCAGAAGCTGAGCGACACGGATGGGAGGGAGCCAGTGTCTGGTCCCTGCTTGGCAGAAGAGGAACAGAGGCCAGCTCCTCAGAGGGATTTAGGCACATAGTGACCACTGGGAGTTGGGCACCTAACAGCCGTTGTGCAGCTAGGCCATGGAACGCAGCTCTCCCGAGCCCCACGCCTGGCAGGAGCCCTGAGAGCCTGCTTCTGCCCAGCTCAGAACTCTTGCCCCTGGATGGGACTGTAACGAGCAGGCCCTGCACGGACGGCCCTGCACGAGGAGTGGGGAGCAGTGTCCTGAGCCCCATCCAGAGCTCGGAACAAACAGCCCAGCTCTGCTGCTGCCCACGCTCGGCTGCAAGCAGCGGCCCTCGTGCTGTTTCTGGAGCGGGGGTACTTGGTGCACCCCTTACTCCTGCCCACCCCCCTCACTGCCCCCTACCGCTGGGGCTGGCAGCCAGGACCCTGCAAATGGGGCTTGTGGCCAGGGGCCAGCAGCGGAGCCTCCAAGTCCAGCAGCCAAGTGGGACAATGGCCAGCAACTGAGCCACCAGGCATAGGGCTGATGGCCGAGTGGGACCCGCTGCCCAGCAGGACGTGGGGCCAGCAGCAGAGCCCCACGCTGCAGCAGGCCTAGCATCCATGATCCCTGGGGGCCAGTGGTAGGGACCCTAAGAGCTCGGGGTGCTGGCTGAGGTGCAAAGCCTGGGGCTGCAGCACCCTATTTTCTGCACCGGGGGCTGTGAGAGCCCATCAGTGAGTCAGAAGGGCGGTGAAGCTCTGAGACGGCTTCCAAGGGAGCAAGCACTTAACTCGTGGACGAAAGATGACCCATGTAATTGCTGCATGTCTCTACTTGGTGTGTAGAACTGAAGGAACACCTCGTATCCTGATGGCGAATATTACATTGGTAGATGCACAGGTGAATGAACCCGTGATGGTGTGGCTGATGTGGTTAGGTCCTGTGATGGTGTCGCTGGTGTAGATATGAGGGCAGAGTTGGCACCGAGGTTTGTTGCAGGGATTGGTTCCTGAGTTAGAGTTAATGTGGTGCGGTGTGTAGTTGCTGGTGAGAATTTGCTTCAGATTGGCGGGTTGTCTGTGAGCGAGGACTGGCCTGCCTCCCACGGCCTGTGAGAGTGAGGGATCATTGTCCAGGATGGGTTGTAGATCACTGATGAGGCGGTGGAGAGGTTTTAGCTGAGGACTGTAGGTGATGGCCAGTGGTGTTCTGTCGGTTTCTTTCTTGGGCTTGTCTTGTAGTAGGAGACTTCTGGGTACACGTCTGGAACACTGCAATCTCCCTGGACACACAATTGCAGATCTAAAGGTAGCCATCCTGCAGCAAAAGAACTTCAAGGCCAGACTTCAAAGAGAAACAGTTCTCAGCTGTCTACACTGGCCCTCTTGCGCAAAAGCATTTGCACAAGAGGGCTTTTTCCCGAATGGGAGAGTCATTGAATTTCCACAAGAACACTGACTTCCTACTGTCTGAAATCAGGGCTTCTTGCGGAAATACTGTGCTGCTCCTGTTCGGACAAAAGTCCTTTTGCGCAAAAGGGCCAGTGTAGACAGCTCAGATTTGTTTTGCGCAAAAAAGCCCCAATGGCGAAAATGGCGATCGGGGCTTTTTTGCGCAAAAACGCGTCTAGATTGGCCACGGACACTTTTCCACAAAAAGTGCGTGCGAAACTTTTCCGTTAAAAGCATTTGCGGAAAATCATGCCAGTCTAGACGTAGCCAAGGTGTTCACACCTCCAGATCAGCTGCTAGAAGTGGGCCTCACCCTCGCTGGCTGAATTGACCTTGTTCTCTCTTGCCTGATTCTGGCCTGCATATTTATACCTGCCTCTGGAAATTTCCACTGCATGCATGTGACGAAGGGGGTCTTTGCCCTCGAAAGCCTATGCTCCAATAGATCTGTTCATCTGTAAGGTGCCACAGGACTCAGAAGCTCCGGAGACCCTCCCACTTCCTCTTCATGAGCCATTTCCATCACAGGCCAGTCACTGGCCTCCCATGGGCCTAGGCTTCCCTTTCCCCCAGGGGCAGCCCAGCAGGCGTGGGGCGGGCTGGGGAACCCGATTACGCCAAGTTCCGGCCCGGGGCCCTAGGTAGTTTCCCCTAGTGGGGCTTTTGCCCTTATCCCCATAGAGTAGCAGCTACTCCCTAGGACATTTCCCCAACCGCTTCCCCGGTACCTTCTCCCTGGCACCTAGGAGAAAATCTGTCCTGCTTGAAAGCCTGCAGTTCCCTCCACTCTGCACTTCCTCCTCTCCGTCCCCCTTCTCCTTCTCCCGCCTCACCTGAGGGGAAGCCTTTTGTAGCAGCTCTGCAGACCCACTGGCTGCAGGTGTCCCACTAGCCTGCTGCAGCTGGGCAGCAGCTTCTAGCCGCCTAGGTAGAGAACAGGAACCCGCTCACCCGACTCCCCGTGTACCTGCCCTCCCCAAACTCCTGCAGCCTGCTGCCTTCAGTCTGCCACAAGTACTGGAGAATACTGAGCACAGGCAGCCTTCTACCTGCAGATTTCAGAGCACTTGAGAAAAGTGGGTAAGGCAGATTATCCCCATTATATAGGTGGGAAAACTGAGACAGGGAGCAGCAACCTTCTCAGAGTCATATAGCACAGCCACAGCAGAGCTGACCAAACAGTCGTACCTTGCACTTCACAGCCGTGCTCTGAGAGCGCGCGACAGAGACAGTAGGCTCTTTACAAGTGGAGAAACTGCAGCCCCACATGACAAGGCCCCACATCACCCAGCAGGCCAGGGACAGAAGCCAGGTGCCCTGAAGGTGCTAACCACTCAGCCACACTGCCACTTTCAGAGCATCCCTGGTACGGCTCATGCCGCCTCAGGCTCACGTCACCCACTCTGAAGCGCATCCCAGTCGGAGGCCCAGCAGCCCCACTGCAGCACAGTCCTGGCGAATCCCAGCTAGGTGCCGGCAAGCGAGCTGGGGGAGGGGAGACGCTGCAGCTGTTCCTGCCCGTTGCTGCCTGTCTGGGAGAATCAGCTCAGCTGTAAAGGGGTAAAATTAGCAACATTAGTTCCACCCCCCTCCCCCCAGATCATTTCCTGCATTTTAGGGTCACATTTTCCTTCTGGCCCCTACACGCTGGGGTCCCTGGGTATCATGGGCTGAGTCCCCACCTCTGACTGCAGCCCCGCGTGGGCCCCGAGCTTGCCTTCCCTCCTTCTCCTGCTAATCAGGGTCCCCGCGTCACTTGGGATTAAATGGATGGGCCGAGTTACTGCTGCTCAGAGCACCCCCCCCCAGCCACTGCTGAGAGCGCCAGGGAGGGTCTCTGGGGACATCTTCTGGCAGGCGGAGGTGTGGCAGCAGCATGGAATTGGTACCTGGCTTTCCTCCGCCCCTACACGGCTCCCTGAGGCGGACTGAGCTTTGAGAGACGGGTCCGGCAGGGTGGGGATGGTCTGTTCCCTGCCCTGGGCAATGCTGGAGCGGGGTCCATGGTCTCCTTGGCCCGGAAGGGCTAACACAGAGGGCTGCCGTTGGGGGGTGGCTCTTGGGGGTCCTAAGGCCACAAAATGTCAAGTCAAGATGGCAAATTCAGAGGCCCCAGCTCTGCCCCTGGCAGGGAAATGCCTGCCCCAGGAGACACAAGATCATCATGGAGCTGGAGCTGCAGGTGCCTGGTGGTGGCCCGGGAGTTTGCAGGCTTTAAGTAAGCCCCAAATTGCCACCGGAAAGTCACCACACCAGCTCAGTCAGCAGGCAAACTCCGTGCCAGCTCCAAGTGGCACCAGGCTTCAGTCCACCCACCGAGTGGCAGACTCCCCTTGGAAGCTGAGACCGCTCGGCAGAATCTCGGTGGACTGTGGCATTCGGAGCTCTCGGCCCCAACCCCTACGGGGGAGTCACACAATCGTAGAACACTAGAACGGACCTCGAGAGGCATCGAGTCCAGTCCCTGCCCTCCCGGCAGGACCCCGTACTATAGACCATCCCTATTTAACCGGCTCTTCAATATCTCCAGGGATGGAGATTCCACAACCTCCCTGGGCAACTTATTCCAATGTTTGACCACCCTGACAGCTAGGAAGTTTTTCCTAATGTCCAACCTAAATCTCCCTCACTGCAGTTTAAGCCCATTGCTTCTTGTCCTATCCTCAGAAGCCATGGAGAACAATTTTCTTCCTCCTCCTTTTGACACCCTTTTAGACACCTGAAAACCTCTATCATGTTCCCTCTCGGTCTTCTCCTTTCCAAACTAAACAAGCCCAATTCTTTCAGTCTTCTTTCAAGCTCATGCTGTCTAGATCTTTCATCATTCTTGTTGCTCTTCTCTGGACCGTCTCCATTTTCTCCACATCTTTCTAGAAATGTGGTGCCCAGAACTGGACACAGCTCTCCAAGGGTCCATCTGTATTTTTCCAGTCTCACTTTCTAAAGTGAAAGTAGTCTGGACGCATTTTTTTCAGGAAAAAAAAAACCCTTTTTCGAAAAACCCCTCTTCCTTGGGGGGGGTTCACCAAAAAAACTGCATCCAAACTACTTTCACTTTCAAAAGCTCCTC